CCACACCCAGCCTAAGCACTGGTCAAGGCCCCTGGAGCCCTCACACCAGTGCTGTCCTCTTTCTGCCCCCTGCCCTTTGTCTGGTGGCCCCTCCCGGTCTCCCGAGCTCCCGGCTGCCCTCGAGGTCTCTTTCTGACTCTCTCCCAGCCTTTGGGTGCACAGAGCCAGGATCACCCGCCGGCCAGCACGCTGTGTGTGGGATAGGGCTCGGGTCAGCAGGCAGCGTCTCTCCGGCCTTGGTCCACGGTGGGGACAAAATGCACTGTGGGAACCTGCTGGTGACGGTGCCGGCCCCTCACCCTCTGAGACCACGCCCTGTGCCCCCAGTTTAAGTGACGGTAAGAGCTAAACATGCATGATCTAAGTTAGCAGTTGGCTAAAATTTTTTTGTTTTGTTTGCTTTTGGTCCTTTTGAGAGGGCGTCTCACAATGCAGTGCGGGCATCCTTGAGCTCACTTTGTAGCCCAGGCTGGTCTTGAACTGGCAGAGACCCTCCTGCCTCAGCCTCCTGAGTGCTGGGATTACAGGCATGAGCCACCACTCCTGGCAATTGGCCCACTTTTTAAGTTGTATTAAATTCTTTAGATTGCTGATTAATTTTCTTCTCCGTCTTCTAAACGCTCAGTGAAACAGCTTGACGCAGATTTTCCACTCAGACGCTCTACCTGAGGTACACACAGATGAAAGTGGGTTGTCTTCCCAGTGCCCCTGTCTTCCTGCAGGACCCCTTCCCTTTCATGTGTTTGGCCTCCCGTGTTTTGATGGAGCACCTCCTGCAGCAGCTTCCTGAGAAAGGATGTGTGGAAATGAACTTGCTGTGGCTTGATTCCCTGCTGGATACACTGGTGTAGGCTGCAGATTGAAAATCCACTTTTTGTGTGTGCCAGGAATTGGATTCAGGACCTCATGCTTGGCAGGCAGGTGCTGAACCGCTGAGCTATTCCACGGGCCCCTGAAAACCACACTTGCTCAGCGTCTGGGTGGGGTGCGTTCCCCCGGGACATCTCTGGTTTGTTCCTGCTGTCATGTGGTCCTGTGTCAGGCCCATTGGGCCATCTCCTTTTCTCCTGTCTTGAAGTGGTGACTTTCTGAAGCTTCGCGTGCCAGGCGTGGTGCCTCCTTGTTCCTGGCCCTGCAGGGCACCTGTGGACCCTGGCTGGGCATGCACGCTGTTCTGAGTGGTGCTCCTGCTTTGTCTCCGCCCACCCTCGGTGCTGTCCGGACTCCTGGTGCTGACTTGGTGCCTCCTGGATGAGTCCCGTCTCGTGTTTTAGTTTCTGAAAGATTCTTTCCACGGACTGTTTTCGCAGGGCGGTTAGGGAGATGGAACCCGGGCCTCCGCGCTAAGCCGCAGCCAGCCCTTTTTATTTCTTTGACACAGTGTCTCGCAAAGTTGCCAAGTTGTCCAGCGGGGTTTGAACTTTCTATTCTCCTGCCTCAGCCTCCCAGAGAGCTGGGGTTACAGGCGTGCCCCTCCGTGCCGGCCACCAGAATCTGTTTTAACACCCTGTGATCTCCAGTTACGTGCTTTTCTTTGGCCTTTTAAAAGCTGCATTTTATTTCTGTTTGCGGGTGCAGCACCCTCCCTCCTGAGGACTGAGATGCGTCCCCTCGATGACTTCTGATACCACTTAGCTAGCTACGATTTCCCAGTTGTGCCGGATTCTGTTCCCCGTGTGTGTGTGTGTTTTGGTCTCCTTCTCCCCATCGGGGCCACCTCCCAGTGCCTGCTGACCCCTGGCTGCTCCTGCACCTTGTGGCCCGACTCCTTCAGCCGAACCCCGGCCCGGACAGCACCCTTGACCAGGTGTGGGGGGGAGCGGGGCGTCACAACAGCCCGCCCGGCTCTGCTCTCCCCACACCCCCCCTCCCAGGGAATTTCCTGGTTCTGTTTCTTCTCCCCCTGTATCTTGCAGGGGGGAGGGAGGCTCTCTTCTTTACTAATTATTTTAAAATATATGTGCATATATATGTACACACACACATATATATACATTTAGAATATATATAGAAAGTTGTGCCTGTATTACATTTGTTGTAGGTATATAATTTTATATATTGTATGTAGTCATATATAATTGTAGTGATTGTAAATAGACAGAGCCCAGGGCTACTGCACCACTCAACAGCATCCCCAGAGCTTCACTGAGTAGCCCAGGCTGGACTCTCTGTCGAGATCCTCCTGCTTCAGCCTCCCGAGTAGCTGGGGTCACAGATGTGTGCCCCTGTGCCTGGCTCTTTATTTACATATTCTCAACAGTCTGGCTTTTTTTTTTTTTTTTTTTTTTGTCTTTTTCCTTTTTATCAGTACCGGGGATCGAACTCACGACTGCCTGCTTTCAAGGCAGGTGCTTATGCCGCTGAGCTAAACCCCCAGCCCCCAACAGTCTGGCTTTTTACCTGTGTTTCTTGGTTTGTTCTGCCTCCTTGTCTAGAGGTGAGGAGTTGAGAATTGTACTTCATGTCCAGGGGTGGCCCCAATGAAGGTCCACAGGGCACGCAGCTTAGGGGACGGATTTCTCCTCCCCATCCCAGAGGCTGAGTCTCAGAACCAAGGAGCTGCAGGTCGGCTCTTGCTGGACCGCTGCAGGGTCTGTGCCTCGTGGTCCTGCTTGTGTGTCCACAGTGTCTGCGTCAGGACTCCCAGTTCATGGGGTCACAGCCACCCTGGTGACCTCGGTTTGCTGAAGTGCTGATGTCCAGCTGCAGCCAAGCCCGGGGGACCTCACCCCGCCCAGCTTGGCTACGGGCTTTTAGCGACCCCAGTGGTATTGGTGATGTGTGGGGAGGCAGGGCGCCCCTTATCAGTAATCTTGACTGCCTTCCTCCTGAGCAAGTGACCCCATCCTGGGAGCTTCCGGTGAGGGGGTGCTGGGGGTCGCTTGGATAAATCAGCTCCAAAGTGCGGAGGGAGAGGCCAGCGTCCAGTCAGCAGCACGGCGTGGACTTACTGTGTGCATAGCCCCGGATCTGATCCCAGCACCCAAAATAAAATAGTAACGTGAGGACCTGGGACCGAGTGGGGGGCCGGTGGGACCGTCAGGCAGCAGTGACTGCGGTGAGGCGGACGCGGCCCAGGCCCGATGGGAGGAAGGTTCCGGAAGCTCTGTTCCCTAGTCCATAGCATCCCCCAGGCCTGGGCCAGGAGTCACCTGGGCCGAGGCGAGCTGCAGCTACACGCCCTGGGGCCCCGGCTCGGTGGTCAGGGGTGGCCTTGGCTGTGGTGCCAGCATGGCGGGTGCCTTTCTTTTGGGTCCTGTAGGCTGTGGCCGGTGTGGCCTCCATGCTGTGACCTTGCTCTGCTGTCATCTGTGCCCAGAACCCTTGGGACTGTCCTCGGGGCCAAAGCGCAGAGCATAGGGCGGGGGGAGGGGGGCGCCCTGAATCTTGGGCTGTCCTTGCCCTGGTCCAGGCTCTGTGCTACTGCTGCCTACGGCCTCTACCTCTGTGCCACAGGGGCCGAGGGAGGCCACGCACCTCGCTGTGGGGCCGCCCCACCTCAGCCAGCAGGGGCGCTTCCCCTGAGTCCAAAAGCTCCCTGAGGTTGGCTGCTCCCATCATGGCCTGGCTTTGAGGTACCACAGTCCGTGAGGGCACAAACCCCCCTGCCTTGCCCCTGTGACTCAGGGTTGTGGGTGGTGATATCAGCAGATCCTGGGGTGCAAAACTCTGTGCCCCACGCTTGGTCTAAACTTTGCCCCGGTGTGGGGCATGGAGTGACGGTGGCCAGGCTGGGTGGGAGTGGTGGAGGCTGCGTGCCCTGCCTGGGGTGGGTGGCTACCGCTGGATGCCAGGGCCTGTTACCTCTGAGAAGAGAGCCTGGGCTTGGTTGTCCAATCCCCGACTTTTTTGGAGACACCAGACATCAGAACTTATTTGTGAAACCTCTTGGTTTGACAATTCTGGTTTTTCAGGGAAGACTGCCTGGGACAGATAAAGCCTGTGCGTGGGCTTCGGCCTCGGGGCCTCTGGTTTGTGGCTTCTGCTGCTGTGGGCTGTAGAGTCGTGGCCAGGCCCTGCACTATCTCCAGAACCTCATGAAGGGGGACCAGCCTGTCCACTTGGGGCTCGCACACCATCCCTTATGACCAGGATGGCCGCTGTGAGCTTGGCCGAGGACAGGGTGCCCACCAGGCACCTTCGGCCTTGGTGGCTGTGGTGCTGGGCGTTGTGCTCCTGCTCTGCTGGGTTGGAGAGGTGAGACCCTGCCTAAGTCCCTGCACAGGCAAGAAACGCGCAGCCAGGCCCAGTTCTTCCTGCTTAGTTTACCGCGCTCTGTAGGAAGTGGGATGGACAGAGCTGCTTCAGTTTGTAAAATCCCTAAAGACGTGTGGCCGGGAAGCCCCTCCCTTCCCTCCCCTTTCAAGCACACCCATCCTGTTGTCCTTCCCCCCAGTTGCTTCTGGTCCCCAATTTTTTTTTTTGTCTTTTTCCTTTTTATCGGTACTGGGAATCGAACTCACGACTGCCTGCTTACAAGGAAGGCGCTTATGCCGCTGAGCTAAATCCCCAGCCCCTCCAGCCCCAACTTTCCTGCTCTGGGGTTTGCCGAGTCTGCCGGCTCAGCCCCGTGGCCTGTCCCCTGCTGTCCCTCCCACGATGCCCCCACTGAGGACTCTGAGACTCTTCTTGGATGCCTCCAGCTGTGGGGACCTCACTACCTCCCCGGGCAGGCACTGTGCGGGACAGGACGGTGTGTGGGCTGAGCCGGGCCAAGCCCCTCCTCCCGGGCTCCCCAGCTGTCTCTGAAGGAAGGAATCGGCCTGGGAAGCCGGATGGAGGGGTGCTTGAGCTCTTGTGGTTGTCGTGTTTTGTGTTTTGGAAACAGGGTCTCCCTAAGTAGCCCAGTCTGGTCTTGGACTCACAGTGATCGGTCCTCTCCCATGCCACAGGGGTCTTTGAAACAGTGGTGTCACCCCGGAGCCGGCCCTGGGCACCCAAGTGCCAGGAGCTTGGGGGTGCTGGCGGACTCGGGCTCACCCCTCTCTTTGTCTCCCCAGGGACGTACCAGGGCCAGTGGGTCGGCGGCATGCGCCAGGGCTATGGCGTGCGGCAGAGTGTGCCCTACGGCATGGCGGCGGTCATCCGCTCGCCCCTGAGGACGTCCATCAACTCCCTGCGCAGCGAGCACACCAACGGCTCGGCGCTGCACCCGGACACCTCCCCGGCGGGGGCCGGCAGCCCGGCTGTGTCCCGGGGCGGCTTCGTGCTGGTGGCGCACAGCGACTCGGAGACCCTCAAGGGCAAGAAGAAGGGGCTGTTCCGGCGCTCGCTGCTGAGCGGGCTGAAGCTGCGCAAGTCGGAGTCCAAGAGCAGCCTGGCCAGCCAGCGCAGCAAGCAGAGCTCCTTCCGCAGCGAGGCCGGCATGAGCACGGTCAGCTCCACGGCCAGCGACATCCACTCCACCATCAGCCTGGGCGAGGCCGAGGCCGAGCTGGCCGTCATCGAGGACGACATCGATGCCACCACCACTGAGACCTACGTGGGGGAGTGGAAGGACGACAAGCGCTCGGGCTTCGGCGTGAGCCAGCGCTCCGACGGGCTCAAGTACGAGGGCGAGTGGGCCTGCAACCGGCGGCACGGCTACGGCTGCATGACCTTCCCCGACGGCACCAAGGAGGAGGGCAAGTACAAGCAGAACGTGCTGGTCAGCGGCAAGCGCAAGAACCTCATCCCGCTGCGCGCCAGCAAGATCCGGGAGAAGGTGGACCGCGCCGTGGAGGCCGCCGAGCGCGCCGCCACCATCGCCCGGCAGAAAGCCGAGATCGCAGCCTCCAGGTAGGAGTCGGGGGTCCGGGCCACCGTGCTCGGCGTGTTGCGGGACCTTGGGGTGGGGCAAGGGCCCTGGGGCTCACAGCCTCCGCTCCGGCAGGGGCGACTCTCCCGGGTTCTGTGTGTCTGCTGGGTCTCCCGGGAGCTGTGGATGGACCTGGCAGGTGGCCGTTCTGGTGGTACCAGTGTGATGCAGCTCTTGGGTCAGGGAAGGGTGTCTGCCACCTGGCTGCTGCTGCGGGGGCACACAGGAGGCTGGCAGCTGCCCGGGTGACCCAAGGTTGTTACGAGGTGCAATCAGCTGCGGGCACTGCCCAGGGGGCTCACATAAGACTTGGGGTTTGGGGGGCTGGGGATTTAGCTCAGCGGCATAAGTGCCTACCTTGCAAGCAGGCAGTCGTGAGTTTGATCCCCGGTACCGATAAAAAGGAAAAAGACAAAAAAAAAAAAAAAAAAAAAAAAAAGACTTGGGGTTTGGGGCCAACAGCTGCCCAGTGTGGGTTTGGGCACTGAATTTGGGGTTCAGAGGGGCCATAACCCCTAAGGAACAGGTCCCGAGTGGGCGGGGCTGCTGTGGAGATTTCTAGGCCTCTCTGGTGGATGGCAGCTGGAGGCTGCCTGGGCTGGCAGTGGAGAGAGCTGGGTGGCAGGATGGGCAGAGCAGCGGGGCCCTGCGTCCCCCGTACCTGGTGGCCTTGTCAGGCTCTGGATGTTTCTCAGGTTGGTCCACCCTCGGGCTCCTGGAGGACACTTCTGTCTGCCTGGAGCAGCTCTGTGGCCTGGAGAGCCTCCAGGACGCTCCCAACCTTGCTTAGGTTTGGATGGGCCCGAGATGGCTCTGGGGAGCTGCAGGGTGCAGATTCCTAGCTCGGTGTTGGGGTTCGGAACCAGGCAGTGCCCCGTGCCCGCCCCTGTGTGTGAGTACAGTACTCACCTGGTATTTTGGGAACAGATTCGGTCCGGCGGTTATTTTTAATGCCATAGATGTAATACTTGCTTCCTGTGGGAAGATTAGAAAGTCATACTTTAAAAGAAGCCAGTGATGCTGGTGGCGGCCCGTGTCTTCCTGAGCCATAAGGGCGGCTGTCCTGCCTCTCTATGGCTTCATTTTTCTGCCCTTGCACCTGGTAGCTGACGGGCAGGCAGGTCAGGGCTGCGGGTGCTCGAGACGCCTCTGCAGAGGGGTGGGCAGGATTAGCACAGGGCAGCTAACAGGTGCTGGGCGGACGGTCACCCTTGTTATGAGGCCAGACATGTGTGGAGCTTGCAGAGGTGGCCATGGGGAGCGTGGCATCTCCCACAGGGTGCTGGGCGTTTGCAGCTTGAGGGACCCTTGGTGTGGGTCACTGGTTGGCATCTGTGAGGCTCTGTCCAGTGTACAGGGGCCTTAGTTAGGTGTCGGATTGGGGATGACAAGCCGTGGGCGCCCACCCCTGCAGATGTGGCTAATGGATGGCTGTGTTCAGACTTTCTCACCTGGTAGCCCTTCCTTGAGGCACTGACCATCTGGTGACAACGTGGGAGGAGCCTCGGGAGCAATCGTGGGGCCCCAGACACTAAGGAGGGCAGCGCTGGGCAGGACCAGGGTTGGTGCGCGGCTCTGCTTCCTGCTCACCCCTCTGCCAGGGCCCTTGCGCCCTTGCTGGACTCGGGTCCCTCTTCATGGAGGGTGGGGCCAGCATCCGCGTAGCAGATGGCTTTGCTCTAGGGATGGGGAGGTGTGGTGCATAAGGCCTGGGCCACACCCTACTCCAGACCCCTCTGCAGCCTGAGCCCCCGTCCTGAGCCAGCCCTGAGAGCTGGGCCCGGGCATCTCTGCCCGGTGTGCACCACGCCATTGGCTGGGTATTTTCGTTTTTTAAAAAACTACCTCCTGGCTGGAGATTAAGCTCAGCAGCCCCCAGGGCCTGGTACACACAAGGTTGTGAGTCTGATCCCTGATAACAAACAAAAAAAGAACTGTCAGTCTCCTTGCTTAAAAACTACCCTTGGTTAAGTTTATTTAGCTGTGCTGGGAATTGGACTTGGGGCCTCACACTTGCCAGGCCAGCGCTGTGCTGCGGAGCTGTGTCCCCGGCCTCCCCTGTTAAATTTGTAAAACCTAGTTAATCGGTAAGGCAGAGCTGTACGAAGCTGTCCTGTGCCACTTCAAGCTGTCCACCCCCTTAGATATAATTCAGTTTTCCCCCTTCTCAGACCCTGCTTAGACTTTTTGGGCTTTCAAGCCCTTTTCTGTGGCTTCCTTTCGGTGGCTTGAAAATGTATGGAAAACTCCAGAATTAAATAAACAATTCCTAAATTTTAAGTTGGGCATTCTGAGTAACCTAGCAAAATCCAGCACCTTCCCTCTCACCGTGCTGTTAGCCATCCCACCACTGGGAGGAAACACAGGAGACCACAGCTCACAGGAGGGGAGGCTCACGTGGCTTATGGTTCCAGGGGTTCAGTCCATGGCCAGCCGGTGCCAGGAACCTCCTGGGGGAAGAGGATGAGGGAGCAGAGCTGCTCACTGCCTGGTGGCCGGGAAGCAGAGAGAGAGGAAAAGAGCCCAAGGGGAAGGAGCCAGGGACCGCAAGGTCACACCCGGCACCATCCCAACACCCCCAGAAGTGTGCTTTACTGATGCTTTGGTGAGTGTCAGTCCTGTCAGGCTGACAGTCAGGATTCCTTGTCCCACTGAGTACATGGATCAGCCTCATCCCCAGTGTCCACTCTGTCTATACCGCACCCACCGTGGTATGCTTGCTGACCCTGTGGCCCCGGCATTGATCCCTGCTGGTGAGGAGTATGTCCCTTTACAGAGAAGGTCCACTGGGGCCCCTGTCTCAGTGGGCAGTCTCCCTTCTCCTGGTCACAGCCAGGGCATCTCTGCCTCTCAGCCTTGTGGGGCTGGAGACTGGCCTTGCTCACCGCCCCTCTGGCAATCCCCTGGGTCTCTCTGCACCATCACCCCCACCATGGGCACTGTGGACTGAGGTGTGAGCACCGTGTGTGGCAGAGGCTGCCTCGTGTGGTGGACTGCAGTGTGACACACTGCTCCCTGCTGGGTGGATAAAGGTCCCAGTCCCTGGCCTGTGGCTGTGTCACCTCGAGAGGCGGAAGGGACCTTGCAGCTGTGACCCAGGATGAAGTGGGGGTGTTTCTGGCTCATCTGGGCTGGCCCAGTGTCCTCTTGGGGGGTCCTCGTAGGAAGGAGGCAGAAGGGCCCAGAGCCCCAGAAGGAGCCACCTTCCCTTGTAGTTCGGGCCTGAAGGCCCCCTCTGGACTCCAGGAGAACCCGCAGGGTTGTCTCACGGTGCTTGGGATTTTCTTAGGGCAGCTGCAGGCGGTGGCTGAGGACAGTGACCCTCCCGGTCCCCTGCCGGGATGGCCTGCCGCCTGATGGTTGGGCTGCCTGAGGCAGTGCCCTGGCCGGAGGGCCTGGGCTCCTGCTCTGCAGCTTCCTGCCCTGCGGGGGGCTGGCTGTGCGCTAGCGGAGAGAAGCCTTCTGGCGGGCGGCAGCCATCTGTTCCTGCATGGACCTTGCTCTGTAAAGGAAGCCGGTGGGGACCGCGGGGATGGCGTTAGGATCCTGGGAAGTGGCCAGGCCCAGGGCCCAGCTGAGGGGACCCTAGGGGCAAGAGGCTGGTGTGGAGCTCTGTGCCTGGCTGCACCCTCAACCCACGAGCTCCTCTGGCCATGACCCAGGACATCGTGACCTTGGGGCTGAGTCTGGCGCCTTCCATGGTGGTTCCCAGGGTGGCAGACGGCAGGCCTCCAGGCCCTGGCCCGCTGTGGGTCAACAGGTGCGGCTGTCAGGTGCAATCGCAGTGCCTGTCATCCCCTCTCTCCTCCTGCGGGACCGTGTGCTGGGTGGGAGCACAGGCCTGTGAGCCCATGAGTCATCCTGAGATCCTGCCATCTCAGAACGGGGTGGCGGGGCACGGGAGGCGGTAGCCAGCTCCAGCCCGGGGCCCTGGCCTTGGGCCCGGGGCGCCTGGGCCTTCCCTCCACCCCACAGCAGCTCTTCCTGAGGATGAGCCCTGCAAGGCCTTGGGGACTCGACCCAGGGTTAGCTGGCTGCCAGAGACCCCTTCCTGCAAACTCCTAGCCACCCCCTCTGCATCCATCTTTGGAGAGATGGCACTGGCTCTGCTGTCACCGAGCCGGCCCCGCACAGGAGCCAACACCCTGGCCTGGTTCTACCCTGTGGAATGGGCCCACGACACTGGACCCGTGTATCAAGGCTCAGATAACTGGGCTGTGGCCAGCATCTTGGTCACCGTCACCGCCCTGCACTCAGCAGCAGAGTGTGACCTGTCCTTCTGGATCGGAGGGCCCTCCATGGGCTCAGGGACACCATCCACCATCCAGCCTGTCACGCTGCTGCTGGGGCTTGGTGCTCTTGGCTTGCGGCCACGTCGATCTGGGCTCTGCCTTTGTTTCTCTTTTATGGTCTCCCTGTCCTGTCTGTCTGTCTGTCTCTCGCCTCCTTCAGTGGTGGGGACGGCAGGGAAGCCCTGCACTGTGCTGGGGAGGTGCTGTGCTGGGAGCCGCCCGCCCCCTTCCCTGAGAGGTGATTTCTGCTCTGATTTCCTCTGCAGCCTCTCGGGTCTCACTGCTGTCTTTTTGGAAATTGAGGTCTGTGTCTTCCAGGGTCTCCTATGGAGACGCCGCTTGTACCTGCTCTGGGTGGGCGGAGGCCTGAGGTTGCCTTTGGCCCTTTGGTCTTGTCATTGCCCCCTCTTGGTTTGCATTTGTGCTTTTCAGTCTCACTTGTGTCACCCGCCTGCCATGTGCATCTTAGGGTCCCCCTGTGGGGAGGGCGTTCACCCAGTCCCGGGGTCCCACAGCATAGGGAGGGGCTGGTCACCTGAATCCCGCCTGGAGGGCCAGCTGGGTGAGTCCTGGTTCTTCCTGGGCTGACGAGCCGAGGAGTATTGATGCAGATCGACCCATTGTTACCGCTGCTTTAGACTTTTCCAGGCTGCCAGATCTTCCTGTCTGTGGTGTGCACCCCGTCCGGG